CTGTGCATGGGGTTGCTATGAGTCGGTTCTGACTCGATAGCACCTGACAACAACAACAATGTTTGAAACACAAAGGTCACTAGTCAAATGTTTTTGAATGAAAAATTTATACTTTTAAACATCAATGGCCTAGAGAACAAATAAGATACTTAAAGAGAGACACAAAACCTGGGTTTCTATGCTCTTATTGTGTGCCATTAAGTAAAATCTGACTCACAGAATCCCTGTAGGAAGGAAAAGTACTGCGGCATAGGGTTTTCCATTTTTTTAGAAGCAGACAGTTGGTGGGTTTGAACTGCCAACTTTGCAGTTATCAGTTTAATGCTTATCCTACAGCATCACACTCTGTTTCTATACTTGATAACATTTCTTTTTCTCTCAATTGTCCTAATTCTGCTCATGATAGCATATCATTTAAGATGGGAAATTCAAGGAAATCTTTGAATTTAGGCAGAGAAGGAAGAGTCAATTAGTCTACAAGGCCCACAAATAAGGGACTTCCACCCATAATTTAATTTCTACTACCTACTTAGTTTCAGAGGAGCTCTGATAGTGTAGTGGTTACGAATCAGGCTGTGAGTCACAAGTTGAGCAGTTCAAAACTACCAGCCACTCCACTGGAGAAAGATGAGGCGTTCTGCTCCTGTAAAGATTTACAGCCTCAGAAACCCTGTGTAGGGTTGCTATGAGTTGGAACTGACTCCATGGCACATAACAACAACAATAACAACCTACTTAGTTTCTCGTCTCATTTTTCCTTACTTGGACTGTGTTTAGGCTTTCTCTCACCAACCTCTACCTTCTATTGCAGGGTTGCCAGATCTGCTGTTCTAAAGCTCCTTTATATATGGCACACACCTTCTCAAAACCCTTCAATCACTTCCCATTTCCTTAGCCTGAAAATTCAAGGGGTCAAAGAATTTGGCTCTATTTGCAGTTTTGAACCTTTCTTTTGCTGACCTTTTTGTGCAGTGCAAAGAATGGACAGAAAATGAACTACTCTTCTTTAACAGGTACCATGACTTCATTTTTTCTTTTTCTCAGCCTAGAGACTCTTCTTGCCATCTTCACCAGTCAATCTTACTTAAGCTTTAGAGCTTAGCATCAGGGCCCTCATACAAAGGTCCCACCTTAGCTTAGGATGAGGCAAAGCCCAGAAGACTTTAATTCATCCAAAACCTTAGAGAAATTGACTTTCATATACTTCTAGTCTGTACACACTAAGTGCCTGGAGGCTGTATTGTTGAAGATACAAATGCAGAGATTTTGTGATAAAAAAGTAAAAAACATAACACTGAAATGGATCCAAGTTTAGAAACTATGTTGTTGCTGTTGTTAGGTGCCTCAAGTCAGTACCAACTCCTAGCAACACTATGCACATCAGAACGAAATACTGCCCAGTCATAGGCCAACCTCACAATTGTTGCCACGCTTGAGTTCATTGATGTTGCCACTTTGCCAATCCATCTCGCTGGAGGTCTTCTTCTTTTTCTCTGACCCTCCCCGCTAAGTATGAGAGAGGAAGTTTGGCCATCTTGGCCTCTAAGGGGCACTCTGGCTGCACTTCTTCTAACATAGATCTGTGCAGCCCATGGTATTTTCAATATTCTCCTCCAACACTATAACTCAAATGCATCAATTCTTCTACGATCTTCCTTATTTTTCACTGTCTTACTTTCTCATGCATATTAGGTTATTGAAAATACCATGGCTTGGGTCAGGAGCACCTTAGTCCTCAAGCTGACAATTTTGCTCTTCAACACTTTAAAAAGGCCTAGTGCAGCAGATTTGCGTAATGCAATACATCATTTGATCTCTTGACTGCTGCTTCCGTGAGTGTTGATGGTTGATCCAAGAAGAATGAAGTCTTTGACAATTTCAATCTTTTCTCCATCGATAAGAATGTTGTTTATTATTATCCAGTGATGGGGATTTTGGGGTTTTTTTTTACACTGAGATGCAATCCATACTGAAGGCTATGCTCTTTGATCTTCATCAGTAAATATTTTAAGTTCTCTTCACTTTCAGCAAGCAAGATTTTATCATCTACATATCGCAGGTTGTTAATGAGTCTTCCTCCAATCCTATTGCCATGTTTTTCTTCATGTAACCCAGCTTCTTGGATTATTTGCTCAGCATACAGTTTAAATAAGTATGGTGAAAGAATACAACCCTGTCGTACACCTTTCTTAATTTAAAACCATTTAGTGTTTCCATGTTCTGTTTGAACAACTGCCTCTTGGTCCATGTACAGATTCCTCATGAGCACAATTAAGTGTTCCGGAATACTCATACTTCACAATGTTGTCCATAGCTTGTCATGATCCACAAAATAGAAAGCCTCTGCATAGTCAATAAAGCACAGGTAAAACTTCTTTCTGGTATTCTCTGCTTTCAGCCAAGGAAAAGAGATGGAAGGAATACACAGAGTCACTGAACCAAAAGGAAATGGTTGATGTTCTACCATTTCAAGAGGCAGCAAATGATCAAGAGCCAATAATACTGAAGGTAGACGTCCAAGGTGTATTTAAGGAATTGGCAAAGAACAAGGCACCAGGAATTGATGGAATAAAAATTGAAATCTTTCAAGAAAGTGAGGCAGCACTGGAGGCACTCACTCATCTATGCCAAGAAATTTGGAAGACAACTATCTGGCCAACTGATTTGACTTGTGCCCATTCCAAAGAGAGGTGACCCAATGGAATGCAGAAATCATTGGACAATATCTTTGATATCCCATTTGAGTAAAGTTTTACTAAAGGTAATACAGAAATGGCTGTAAGCATACATTGACAGAGGACTTCCTGAGGTTCAAGCCAGATTCAGAAGAGGCCGTGGAACAAGGGATATCATTGCTGATGTCTGATGGATCTTCACTGTCCAGCTTTTGCATGCATTTCAGTTCACTAATGCCTAAGATATCAATATTTATACATTCCATTTCATTTGTGATAATTTCCAATTTTCCTAGATTCATACTTTATACATACCATGTTCCAATTTTTAATGGATGTTTACAGTAGTTTCTCATTTTGAGTTGTGCCCCATCAGCAAATGAAGGTCCTGAGGGCGTTACTCCCATGGACTTTACTCCATTCACATCATCACAGTCAACTCCAGTTTGACTCAGGTTGCAAGGCACTAAAATGTGACTCTTCCCCAGTCACATTCTGAGTGCCTTCCAACCTGAGGGTCTCATTTTCCAACACTGTATCTGACAGTGTTTCTGTGCTATTCATAAGGTTTTCAGTGACTAAATATTAGGAAGTAATTCATCTCTCCTTCTTCCTAGCCTGTTCGTCTGGAAAAGCCCTATATCACCAACCAAAATAAGGCTGGGGCAGAAAGTGAATAAACCATCAATTGCTCATATCCAAGTTCAGAATGCATTAGGCAAATCTGCTGCACAATAACTCTTTAAACTGTTCAAGAGCAAAGACGTCAGCTTGAGGACTAAGGTATGCTTGACTCAATCCATGGTATTTTCAATAACCTCATATGCATGTGAAAGCTGGACAGTGAATAAGGAAGATCAGAGAATTGATGCATTTGAGTTATAGTGTTGGAGGTGAATATTAAAAGTACCATGGACTACCAAAAGAACAAACTAATCTGTTGGAAGAAGTACAACAAGAATGCTCCTTGGAAGCCAGGATGACCAGACTTCCTCTCTCATACTTCAGACATGTTGTCAGGAAGAACCAGTTACTGGAGAAGGATATAATGTTTGGTAAGGTGGAGGGTCAGAGAAAATGAGGAAGATCCGCAATAAGATGGATTAGCACAGCGGTAGTAGCAATGGCCTCAAATGTAGCAACGATTGTAAGGTTGGCATAGGACCTGGTAGTGTTTTGTTCTGTTATACACAGGGTCACACTGAGTTGGTACTGATTCGATGTCACCTACCAACAACAAGTTCAAGTTAAAGATGAAGAAAATTAGAGCAACTTAACAAGAGCCAAAATATGGTCTTGAACATATTGTACATGAATTTAGAGATCATCTCAAGAACAGTTTTAATCATTAGACACTAATGACCTAAGACCAGAAGCATTATGGGATGACATCTACACAATATCATATAAGAAGCAAAAGATCATTAATAAGGCAGAAAGAAGAAAAAGACAAAAATGGATGTCAGCAGAGATCTGAAACTTCCTCTCCAGCATAGACATGCTAAAGCAAATGTTAGAAATGAGAAGGTAAAAGAACTGAACATTTCAAAGGGAAGCTCAAGAAAATAAAGTCAAATACTATACTGAAATGTACAAAGACTTGGGAGTTACAAAACTAAAAGGGAAGTACATGCTGAGTGTTTCTCAAGTTGAATGTACTGAAGGAAACATTCAATCTTCGACTTGCAAAATTGAAGGGTTCTATGGGAGTCCTGGAGTCCTGGTGTGGCACTGTGGGTTAATGCCTGGACTTCAAAGTCAGCTTAACCATAAAGTAGGCAGGTCAAGCTCACCAGTTGCTCCTTGGAAACCCTAGTCAGGTCACTAGGGGTTGGAACTGACTCGACAGTATTTAACACCAACAAAAATGGGCAAAATATTGAATGATGCAGAAAGCTTCAGAAGAAGATGGAAGGAATACAGAGTCACTATACCAAAAACAAATTGTTGATGTTCAGCCATTTCAAGAGGTAGCATGTGATAGAGAACTGATGGTACTGAAGGAAGCAGTCCAAGCTGCACATTGGAACTGGTGAGAAACAAGAGAAATGATGGAATACAAATTCTAATCTTCCAACAAACTGATGAAGCACTGGAGAAACTCACTCATCTAGGCCAAGGAGTTTGGAAGACAACTATCTGGTCAATCGATTAAAAGAGATCCATATTTGTGCCTATTCCAAAGAGAGTTGACTCAGCAGAATGTGAGAATCATCAAATAGTAACATTAATATCACATGCATGTACAAGTTTCTGAAGATAATTTAAAAATTGCTGTATCAGTATACAGACAGGGAACTGCCAGAAATTCAAGCCAGATTCAGAAGAAGATGGAGAAAAATGGCTGAAAGGAAAGAATATCAGAAAGATATTCATTTGACTAAGCAAAGGCTTTTGACTGTGTGAATTATGATATGCTATGGGTAACACTGTGAAGAGTGGGTATTGCAGAACACTTAAGGGGGCCCATGAAGAACCTGTATATAGACCAACAAACAGTAGTTTGTACAAAACAAAGGGATAATGAATGATTTAAAGTCAGGAAAGGTGTGCATCAGGGTTATATTCTTACCCTATATTCATTTAATCTGTATGCTGAGCAAATAATCTGAGAAACTGATATAAAACATCACAGTTAAATGAAGAAGAATGTTGCTTCAGAACTGAAGGAAGATTTATTAACAACCTGCAAGTCCTGATACAGTTTCCTTTTCTATACTTTATGTCCCTCCTCTTTGATTTTCATTTCACTCACAAGTTTGGCAATATTATTCTTATATTCCTAAAGATTAGAAAGTATACTGCTTTTTCAATTTAAGTATATTTACACAAATTTTTGATTAACTAAAAATACAAAATTCTCAACTTTTATATGTAATTATAAATCTACAGAAGAGATAGATGATACAACCTCGCTTGTTGGACGCAAAGAGGATTTAAAATACTGATGAAAATCAAAGATCACAGTCTTCAGTATGGACTGCACCTCAATTGGACTAATCCTCACAACTGGACTAATAGATAATATTATGATAATTGGAAAAAAGATTGAATTGTCAAAGACTTCATTTTGCTAGGATATACAATAAGCACTCATGGAAGCAGCAGTCAAGAAATAAAATGACGTATTGCATTAGGGAAATCTGTTGCACAAGACCTCTTTAAAGTGTTAAAGAACAAAGGTATTAGATTGAGGACTAAGGTGCACCTAAGCAATGATTTTTACAATAGTCTTATATGCATGTGAAAGTTGGATACTGAGTAAGGAAGACTGTAGAAGAACTAATGCATTTGAGTTATGGCGTTGGAGAATAATATTAAAGTATCATTCATGGACTCCCAGAAGAACAAATGAATCTCTCTTGGAAGAAGGACAGCCATAATGTTCTTTAGAAGCCAGGGTGATAAGACTTTGTTTCTCATACTTCAGGTATGTTATCATGAGAAACCATTCCCTGGATAAGGATATCACGCTTGGGAAAGTGGAGAGTCAGTGAAAAAGAGGAAGACCCCAATGGTATGAATAGACAGACTGGCACAGCAATGGGATCAAGTGTAACAACAATTGTGGGGGTGGTGTAGGACTAGGCAATGCTTTATTCTGTTGTCAAAGTCGACTAGATGGCATCTAACAGCAACAACAATAGCAAAATATTTTTTCTTATATTTTGGATACAAGTACTGTATCAGATACGTGCTTTGCAAATGTTTTCTCTGGGTAGTCTTTTTATTTTATCAGCCATGTTGAAGAAAAGAAGTCTTTAATTTTGATAAAGTCCAAGTTATAATTAAAAATATATATATTTTGAGTTTTTGTTTCTTTCCAAGAAGTTGTGCCTTCCTCAAGATTACTTAAGAATGTGTCCTGTGCCTTCTTTTATAAGTTTTACAGATATAAGTTTGACATTTAGATCTAATATCCATTTCAAGCTAATATTTACATATCATGTGTTTAAAGATGGTTTCACTGAAAATGTTTTTAATTCCTAGATGAAACCAATGAACTGCAATACATGATCAACATATATTTGACTCCTGTTTTACTGAAAGATGAAAAACATATATATTTGATATTAATTGTATTGCATTGTTTCATACTGAATAATATTAAGTACAAATGCCATAAATTCAGTTAAAAAATATTGCAGTATATATCACATACATATATAGTAAGGTACAAGAACCTAAACTTAAAATCATCCAGGAAATGTTCATTCAAGAACACTTGTTACTGAAAAATGTTTGTATACACATTTAAATTGTTTAATGATGTCTTACAATTCAATATATTAAAAAAAAAACAAAAACTTACCTTGTTTTTGTAAGTCCTGATAAAGTTTTTTTATTTCAATTTTATGTCCCTCCTCTTTGATTTTCATTTCATTCACAAGTTTGGCAATATTATTCTTATATTCCTAAAGATTAGAAAATATACTGGTTTTTAAAGTATATTTACACTAATTTTTGATTACTTAGAAATACAAAATTCTCAAATTTATATGTAATTATAAACCTAAAGAAGAGAGAAAGATACTCTTCATTGTTTTGAGAGCAGCCAGTTTTTGCTTCATGTGCAAAGTCTTTTTATGTTTGCATCCTGATACTCATCGAAAATGCTTAACATATTAAAATACCTGGTTTAATTGTATGAATAAGTGCTACTATAACACTAAAACTACCACACACCTATCAGTTTGTCCTACTGTGGTGTCCTGACTGTTGCTGTGATGCTGGAAACTATGCCACTGTTATTTTAAATAGCAGCAGGATCACCCGTGATGTACAGGTTTCAGTGCAGCTTCCAGACTAAGAAAAACTAGGAAGAAGGCAAGATAGACCACTTCGTAGTGGTTAATCACTGAAAATATGAATAGCAGTGGAATACTGTCTGGTATAGTGCAAGAAGATAAGCCACTCAAGTCAGAAGTACTCAAATTGTTGTTGTTGTTGTTAGGTGCCGTGAAGTTGGTACTGACTCATAGCAACCCTATACTCAGCAGAACAAAACACTGCCTGATTCTGGGCCAACCTCACTACTGTTGCCACTCTTGAGTCCATCAATGCTGCCACTTCACCAATCCATTTCATTGGGTGTTTTCCTCTTTTTCTCTGACCCTCCACCTTACCAAACATGATATCCTTCTCCAGCGACTGGCCCCTCCTGACAATACGTCTAAAGTATGAGAGACGGAGTCTGGTCATCTTGGCCTTTAAGGAGCACTCTGGCTGCACTTCTTCCAAATGAATCTGTTTGTTCTTTTGGCAACCCATGGTACTTTCAATATTCTC